GTATGTGTCTCGCATTACGATAAAATAACGGTACCTAGAGCCACCAAATTTTGAATAACGTACGTCTCCACCCGAATATGGGCATCCGGAAGCCTAAATTTGGAATTTCTTTTATTATCTATTTCATATTTTGTAAGGCATTTATGAGTTTTTGATTAAGAAACTCAACGATTTCAAAGCGAGAAATGTACCGGGGAAAAAAAGTTTTTTATCTCCAGCGCGCGAGATTGTGTATCGGAAATTCTAATGATATGTGCTTTTAAATATTTTGTGATATTGCTGTTGAATTGAATTTTATGGTTTAAGTACGAAGAACATGATATTTAATAAATAAGAGGTAATACACAAAACGTTAGAAAAAAGGCCCCTTTAGGTGTAATATAAAATCTGAAAGCTTTCAGAATTTTTTTAAAGCAATTTGAGCTACTGGATTGTAATTTGAAGGATTAGACTGATATTCTTTTAATTGATTTTTAACCTAAAAGTAACTTTTGCTTTAATATTTATTTATTCCATTAAACATCATTATGCAAACAAATTCTCAACAGAAGATTTTTCAATTTTTATGTAATGTGTTTTTACTTATTTAAACTTATTCCTTCCAGAAGTGTTTCTGAATCGTATCTTGGCGATTTGCGTAACTAAATACCGAAATAGGAAGGCAGTTAAAATTCTGTCACTGAAAAGTTTCATTTCTCATGCGCAAACAATCGTCTGCTAAAATCTGTCTCTGAAATTTTTTAGAGCTTTTAATATCAAGAAGATTAATTTTAAAATTTATGCAACCATTAATCTTATATAAAAGTATCAAATATTCAAAGTGGGGGAACATCAAGAAATTCATTCTGAATTCTTTAGAAATGTGCATTAGATAAGATCTCCACTAGATGGCAGCACAGCATCTCAAAAGTCAAAGTTAAAAATTAAGGAGATTAAGTTGTCTAGAATTCTTGTCCTGCAAGAGGAATTTGAAGCAGTTAAATTAATAAAGAATATTAAAACTGAGAATGAAAAGATTCTCTAGCTTGCATCTCACTTACAATTAGCCAATGATGTTTGATAAAATTAAAATAAAGGTCACATTTGGTTTTCCTCACTATTTTTATCTATTGAAAAAATAATTTAGCATTTCATTTTTAAATATCCTAAATTAAGTTAAAAATTTCTAATTGATATTTACCAGTTAGTGAAAATATTAACGCATAAATTGCAAATAGTAAAAATATGGGGGGGGGGAGAAGCATTTCCAAAAAATTCAGTTTTGTATCGAAGATTACTTCGAAACAAATACGAACAAAGTTTTCTAAGAATATTACTTTTTTAATTTTATTGCTCCTTTTTTTTTACTTATTTATTTAATCTGAATGATTTAATAAAAATGCATTTATTTCTTGATATACCTAATTAAAAACTTTAGTTTTTATAACATAGTTTATACAAACATAGTTTCTTAGAACTGAGTTACATATTTTTTAACTGTTCATCTATACAGAAGGTATATAGCGTGTTCTGGAAAAGTTAGTCAGGATTTCATGTAAAAATTCCCTGTAAATTTCGTAGCATCAAAAGTAGCATTTAATTTTTTCGACTGAAATACTGTCCCCCCAAATAGCAGAATTATTTGAATAAAATAAAATAAATACTTTTATAGTGTTATATCTCAACACATTTTCTACTACCGCGATAAAACGGAAATGGCTTGAAGTATTAACACTCGTTGCTCATTTTTCTTTCCTAAAATTAAATTGCGTATTTGATTCAGTATAAAACGTTACTATTTACGAAGCAAAATTTTAAAAAAAATTATGAAATACTCAGTTTAAATTATTGAGAAGAATCGTTGGAAAATTGATTAGTGCGTTCACTCATTCTGCTTCAAATTACACTCCTGCTCAAAAAATAAGCGGAAGACGAAATGGGGCAGAAGAATATGCAGTGGAAACATCACGCTAATAATGCAATGATACTCTCTAGCTGAAATGCCTGCTTGACAACGGCGACGCATAGTGTTGTTAATAGCTTGTGGCAGTAGCACCCATTCCAGTCGTAGTTCTCCAAGGGTCGGACGCATGTGTCGGGGCTCTTGGAGGGTACCTGGTTGCACACTGCTACCTGCTATCAGTCGTCCCAAGACGTCCCACACAGGCTGTATGCTATTCAAGTCCAGTGATCTAGCAGGGGATAGCAGATGTGGAGTGCATTCACTCTCCAGATAAATCCGCACCACTCGAGTTCTATGCGGGCCTGCGTTATCGTCCATAAATATCGCGTAGGAACTCACTGCGGTAATAAAAGGACGCACATGAATCTGTAGAACTTCGTCGAGATCCGACTTCCGTGACGGAACTACCTGGAATCAAGGTAGAGATCGGTGCGGACGTTCTTGCTGTTCTAGCCCATACAAGTAAGCATCCGTCTCTGCAATGGTCGCTTTCGACAATGCTTGGTGCCTGATAGCGTGTTCCTGCCTCTCGCCATATCACTGCTCTGGAATGATATAAGAATGCTCTGGGAATTCTTCTGAATGTTAAATCAAAACTAATCCGTAAAGAGTATGCAGCCCCTTTGCTCTGGTGTCCAAGTGCGATGTTCATGGGCCTAATTCAATCGCGCTTTCACAAGCCATGGGTACAAAGCAAGACTAACCACAGGTTGTCGGGCGTACAAGTCACATTTATGCAGTCGATGGGACACATTTTGGCGGCATACGGGCCGTGCTTCAGCAGCAGAGAGATGCGACGCCAGCTATAGTGCTGTTAGCGATCTACGGCTCTTTGCACTGAGTTACACAGGAGTTACACACTGAGCACGTATCAACAGGAGGCGATGGTCTGCCGTTGTGGCATCCTCCGGTGTCCAGACCCACGTCTTCTACACGCCTTTTGATCCCTTTGGTAACAGTTCCAGAGCCTACTGATGACACTATGCTGCACATTCAACTCTGTCGTAAAAGCGGATCGTCTTGCGCCAGTTTGCAACATCTCGACAGCCTTTCAACTCATTTCATCTTGAAAATGGTGTCTCCGACTCATGTTTTCCGCTTTGATTATTTCAGAATACATGGAACAATCTCTGCTTGCCAATGAGGCATAAGTCCGGCATGCCCCTTTGTAAAGCGTTGTATTTTGCCTGAGGGATAGAGTTTTGTGCTAATTTTGGTTCGGCGTTGCAACTTCTACTCCATACGTAAATGTATGTTTTAATTTCCCTTTTTACATTCGTACCTTTCGTGTTGCTATTTTTTTTTTTTTTTTTTTTTTTTACCATAAGTGTATTTAAAATAAATGGATCATATGGAAAGAAGAAATTTATTATAGGCATTCGGTTTCAAAATTACGTCGAAAGAAAAATATTCCATGCCGAATTACACACTCAACTAAAAATATCCGTTAAGGTCTTTCTTCAGTTACGACTCTAACCGTATTTTTGAAATCTTTGGCATCGCTATTTGAAAGATTGTAAATGCATTGAATTACATTCACAGGACCGATACCGCGTGGGACTGGAACAGCGCAGAACTGACACCTGGGCTTTATCGACACCGGCATACGACTGCATTATTTATGGGCATACGATCGGCATGAAATAGGAAATTTGACAGAAATAGAAATTTTGATCAAAATAGAAATTTTAATAAAAATGCTAATAGTGAGTAAGATGATTAATGTACATTTGTCACCTTCACAGATTTGTTACAGTCATATGACTGGCATTGCATATAGGATCGACACCAGCATAGCATCAGCACGGCGAAAGAATAACATTACCATGCAAGTGAACATTCTTAATGTAGAAAGATTATAATCAGGAATATCACGTTCTGAAGAGAGAGAAGTAACATATTAAATTACTCTTTTAAGGTACTTAACATCGCCTAGGACTTATATTGGCGTGGACCCGACACCGACCAAGACTCGAAGCTGACATTTTAGCTGTTTTGTGGTCTATCGGTTTGGTGCATCGGTTTTGTGCAGTGTCTCTTCTTTGCCTCAATCCCAGGCTACATTCAGCATCTGAAAATTATATGTGGCTATTTTTTGACTAAATACTATTTTACGCGTAATCGGTCTTAGTTAGACAAATTATCACGATATATACCTGAAACTTCAATAAAGTTATTTGAAATCAAGCATAGGAGTCCTTTGGGGGAGGACATCTTAGAAAGTTTTAGCAAAGTACACAGTGAAACAAAGCCTAAGAGAAATTTTGGCGCGTTTCATCGCTAATCAACACATGCATCATTCTATGAGGAATATGAAGATATTTGTGGCAAAGATTGTGTTTTATATTACAATTAAACCACAGAGAAACGTGTTTCGGAGTTAATACTGGCATTTCATATACAAACGCACAATTGTAGAGTAAAGGCTGAAAGTTCAAATGCACACCTATTTAAAATGATTGACCCTATTCCATGAGGTTTCATTTTTGGAATTCATGAGCATAAACTGGCAATTAATATATAAAATGAAATGAGCACTATTTTGGGAATGAAATAGCATTATTTAGACGGATAATAAATTTGAACACTGTCCAAATTTATTATCCGTCTAAATAATGCCTTTAAGTGACGTGATAAATAAATACTAAGATGATAATTACATTCCAGCGGTAGTTACTCCATGACCTTTTTCTTACTCTTTCTGCAATAACAGAGATAACTTTGACATGTTTGTGACAGTCGGACACATTTTAAGCATATATTTCCAAAGAAATAGCCACATAGCATAAAATCTGGAGACCAGATGTCAGTTGTGGAGCCACCATAACTACTGACGGAATGGTCTGAAGAGGAAACGGCTAGTTTGTTAAAGAAACCTAATATGCTTCATCAACGTTTTGTCAATATTCTAATCTCAGAGGCTACAATTCATTTGAAGTAGCTTACATTAACGCAGTGAATAATTATGGAATCCTTTCCATCTCAAATCGGATCAATTAATATTATTATTTTTATTATTTAATCAATACACAAAATACAGATTTGAAACATAACTCACGCTAGGTATGTTGTCATTGTTGCAGATGCCTTCTGACAATAACCTGTCACGGATTTCCCAGGCGAAAATGGATGGACATTCTCTTTTGTAGTCTGCGATTTTTGACACTACGTGAGGTGTTGCCACACGGGGTTTGCTGCCCCCTATGGCTCGGGGTTTGATGGACCCCGTTTCGTAGTATCGGCCTAGGATTTTGGAGACACAGCCGTTGGAGACCTGGAGGATGCGGGATATGTCGCAGGGGCGCGCCCCACTGTGGGCCAGCTCCACGATCTTTTGCCGCGTGGAGTCCGGCAAGGGACGCCCGTTTACGTACACGCCGCCCAGCTGGTTGATGCCGCTGTGGCCTGCGAAAAAAATATAAAACAAAAACTAAGTGATTTCGTTTATTATAACATCGTGTGAAAGATAAGAAAATATTTTCTTCAGTTATGTTAGAGTAATTTGTAAAATAGATTGGTACTAGATGATTAAGAACAATAAAATTAATTACTGTAATAAATTGCCAGTCTTGATTTACTTTGAAGTAACTTTCTTTGAAATATATATGCTGCTTTGCGAGGTCACACTATGAATAGAAAATAGTTGAATAAAGGCCGCTTAAAATCCTTATCATAAATTTTTGGTAGTGAGTGCTTTATCAAAACAGCATTTTATAAATGCTTCGATTTGGGTAATAAGATATAGTCATGCAGAGTTACTTTCACATAAAGGAGTGATAAGACAAAGTGGAGCATTTGCCTATAAAACAGCAACAATCGTACTATACAGTTACGCTCTTAACTTTAATGTATCAAATTCCCAAAGTAATCACAACAAACTGCCGGACCACTTTTCATCCCGCTTGACTATTAACTGAAAATATCATAACTAATATAAAAGTTTGAATGAACGTTTATGACAAAGAAATATCGTAAAATAGAAAGTAGCTGTATGTTTTCCATTAAACTGAGCTCATATTTCACTGTTACAGAACATTGCAGAATATCCATACTAGTAGATCCTTATCCAAAGGCTATAAATTTTGGGCATTCATCCTTTCCTATCATAGCAATTATTATTTGCAATTGTGTAACTTCAAGTTTAATGGCATCTTTATATTCTGACAAATTTCTTGGATTTGATGTGCACACCTTAAGACAGTTCCCACTGGGGTTTATCTGAGCGAACACAACCAGTACACAACTGGCGTAGCCAACCCATATCTAAATCCAGTTTTTTCCCTTAGGACAGCAACTTGAAAAATCTGAACTGCAGGTACAGCGGAGCTAGTCGTGGAACTGACTAAGCTCAGATAAACCCCAGTAGGAACGGCCCTTTAGGTTTCCGATAACGCCAGCAGAAATCCATCGGAGTGAGGTCGTGGGATCGCAGTGGCCATGAAACTGCAAAGTTACGGGAGATGACTCTACATCTGTCTTAAAAATAAATCCCCAGAAATTCAAGATACAATGTATAGAAAGATGTATTTGAAAAGGCTGGAAACTATGCTATTATTCTATCATAAATGCCATTAAATGAACATTTTTGCGCTTAAAACTTAATTATTCAAGATGTATCAGTACAATATTTTTACTGGATGCCTTGCTTATGAGACATGCAAATATTTATCTTAAATGAGACGGTAAGTATATTTACTTATATTTATTTTCTATAATGTGTTAAGTAATGTTAGATTAATGATTTTGGCTTTGCTATTTATGGTAATAAATTCAGTTCATTTTGAGTTGCATGCAAATAAATTAGACTTATAATTGCAAATAAATTAGACTAGTAAAACTGCTCCAATGTACTTCTTAAAGCAAAATTAAGGTTTAGTTTTCGCTTGGTTTATTTAATTATGGCAAAGCACACTAGGGCTGTCTGCCTAAGGGAAGGGATGCCTTCGTGGAGGACGTTCTAAGGGAAACTGGCTCGTATACAAATTACACATGGGTAAAAACCTCGAAAACGCCCATACAGTCAGCCCGTTTGCGGGATTCGAACATCGGACAAACTACCAGTGTTTAGCGACTTTACCGCTCGGCTGCTGGTGGGCTCGCAAAATTAAGGAGAATGATAGTGAGGCATTAGCGTTGTTACTGTAATCCTTATTTATTTCATGTAAATAAATGCTATAGTTCCAATCTGCGACGTGGGGCATTTTTGCCTTAACGAAAGAACTCGTAATGAGGCCTTTTTAACAAACACAGTTTTTCTATACAACCAGCATCAACAGTAAGATAAATTTTACAGAATGTGAAATTTCAAATCGGCATGTTCCTCTTACAAATATTACAGTTATGAAAAAGAGCTGAGGAAGAAGAAAAATATCACAAAAACATTATGCAGTTCATTTTGCTAAAAGACTGAATTAATTAAATAGCCTTAAATAAAATATTTTATGTTTCCTATTCTTAATTTCTCAAAAAGTAATAAAAGTATAGAGTTACTTTCTGAAAAGATTCATTTTATTTATTTGTCCGTAATTTTAAAATCCGAAATTTAATTTCGAAAAGTTATGCTCCCCCCCCTTTTTTTCCAGAAATTCAGAAGATTTCCTCAGTTTTTTATCGAATTTTGCAAGAAAAAATTTCCTTTAACACATAAGCAACTTTCTTCACCAGACTGACACAATAGACATTTCACAGATAACAAATACTGTTGTTATGTTCTGTATATTTCACTACATTCCTGTATTCAAATTTCACATTCTGAAAAGGATTTTGACTGAAGAATTTTGATTTCTAAAAATAACCTCTAAAATAGCCTTAACTTTTCTAACTCCCAAACACTAAATGCATTTTACAGTGAGTAAAGAAACCAGGTCTTCGCAGCCAATGTGAAAGAATCTTGCGTTCCACCCATTTGATTGATGCCGTTTACAATCGCCATGTCGGGAGGGAAAGAAGTCGAAGGAGAAAAAATGAAAGGTGAAAAAGTATAGAGATGTCAAATTTTCGTGATGTTTTAAGATGTCAGATAAGATATTACTCGGCGCTATGAAAGTTGTAAACAACGTTTGCTTTTCGAAAATCGTTTATTTTCATGGAGGAATTCCAAGAAAAATTGTTTTAAGATAGAATCTGTGTAATTGTATACGAAAAGCAAGAAAGCTACTCCAAAAAGAAAATAAAAAGCAAGTGTGTTAGACATTTCAGAAGCGTGTTAAGTAATAAATTCTACTGCAACGCTCAAATTTGAACTTTAGATTTAGATAAAAAAAAATCTTTGATTGGTGTAAATTTTTAGAAAAATCTTACGCCGTTCGTAAAACTAATACCAGTCTAAGGTAGAATTTGTTTTAAGAATCTAACAAATGATTCTAGTTTTGACACTAATACTTTTTAATTAATTTAATTAACACTAATGCTGTTAAAAACTCAATAATAGTACCATTCATTTTATCAAAACTTGTGTACTGAATATTTTTAAACAAACAAAGCAAAACTGTTAAAAAAGTTAAGCAAAACAGTATAACAGTTAAAGGAAAATCCTTTAAAATAAAGATAAGCTTTTAGAAATCATTTTTTGTTTTCATATAGTAAAAATATTTCATAAATATATCATGTTACACTATCTGTTTGAGCTTATACTTTGAAGATGCATAAATTATTTCATTAATTATTGTTCCATAAAAAATATGGAAGTAGTTTAAAGAAGATACACTATGAACAAAGCACTGAGCTGTCAAAGCACTAGGAATGTCTGTACAACATTAAAGCCTATGAACAGCCATGAAGTTAAATTACTATGACTAATCCTTGCAATTGAAACGCATACAGCATCACTCTAATCATCACAATCAAAATTTTGTTGTAAGAAAGCAATTCACTGCAAAAATCTATGTAATAAGTAATGACTGAAATTTTTCAAACGGAATTTAAATATTTCATGCTGGAAATTAAAGTACCTGCCTAAGAGAAAGTAATCTTTTACAGTAAATTAGGCAAATCATATTTGCGCGTTATGTACAGAATGAAAGTACACAATTCTCTGCAGTCTACTGGTTACAGGACTATCATAAATGATTTATAGGATTTTAAAGCACTATACTTCTAAGAGCATTGCACATGCAGTAATAACTGATACTTGAAAAGAGCTGGAATCTCACCAAGTTTCCCTCTCACATTACAAATGCTTTATAAGTGTCTTGATTGTCATACCATATCCGTACTCCCTGCAGCCGGCGCAGGAAAACCTGTGAAGTTACTGGCTCGGATTTCGCAATCTCGGCCACGAGGGCATAAAATCACGAGCCTGGCAATTACACTTGTTCAGTTGGGAGATACCTTGAGACCAAACTTCATTGGCCCTGTCTGGGTGGGTTGGAGTTAGCCATAGAAGACCATTGCGGCTTCAGGCTTCCTGCGTTCCTGAGACTAGAGTCTCTACTTTACTAAGTTATTTATAAATCTTTCCAACTGTAAAGTTACCAGAGGTTTAGTACGTGTGATAACTTCACCTAGGGATTATCTGAGGTGCCAGGAAAAGCAAGAAATATTTATAGCTAATACAGGCAAAAGACAAAAGTATCAAAGCCTTCTTGCGTAGTACTGGAGAATAGCATTTTCGACGACCAGTCAGATATCCAGACGTTCATGCTCCCCGCCACTGCGATCCCTGTGGACCGGCGGTAGTGATTCCTTGCGGACGGGAGTAGCTGTGATACTACAGAAACTTCAGTCTGCCGTTTCGGATCGGGCCTCGGGTCGGTAACAGTCGTTAATCACAGTCGTCTAAAGGACCTTTGACTGGCTGCCCACTCCGCCTGATATGGGGACCTCTCATTTTTCGACTCAGTCCGCGCAGTGTCAAACCGACGGAAAGGAATTTATAAACATATTTTTATTATACCATATCCATGACCCCGGCAGTCGTTTTTTGTACTGGCTCGGATCTGCATCTTGGCAGTCTGGGCACCGAGGAATAAAAATACTAGTATGGCTATTTCAGAATCCCGAGGGAAAATCGTTTCATTGACCAAGGGGAAATTGGTGGTAAATCCCCAGACTAGAGTCTCAGTAGCGGAATAGCGCCTGGGACATTGAGCATCCAGACCCGCTGTCCTCCATATTCTATATAAAGACTAGAGGGCGGGGCGTTTCACGTAGTACTGGTGGGCAGCATTTTTGAAGATCAGTCAGATCTTCAGGCTCAGAAGGCTGCACTTAGCTATTAGGTCCGGAAGTGGTGACCTCGCGGGCCCGGACTGAGTGGTGGTTTTAAGAAAGATTCTAAAAGTCTGTTGCCCAGTAAATGTGGGATTGTGCGTATTTAATGACTTATGATATTTAACATTCAATTTTTACTTCGTTCCTTTACTTACTTCCTTCCATTTAATTTTTACTACTTCCTTTAATTTAAT